CCCGCGGGTGACACCGGCGCGCTGCCGGCCGTGGCCGCCGCCTGCAGATTGGAAAGGAGCAGACGCTCGCGGAGGTGGCGCGCCACGGATCTGTGGCTGCCTGGAGTGTGGACGAGCGCGTCGTGGCTGCGAGGGGCTTAGATTAGAGCGAGGGCTTCTCCTTAGGGGCGCAGCTTAGTGTGGGTTCTTTGTATTCTATGGAGTCCTCATTGCCTCTCGGAAATCCTTGTTTATTTAAGAAAAATAAATGCCGGTGACCCGTGTGAGCCTGCAAGATTTTGGAGACTTGCTGAGGAAGCTTTTCCTAAGTTGTAGGATCACTGAACAGCTTTGTCTAGGGTCGGTCGCAAGTGGCTGGGGGAGGCGTCACTGAGGACGTCTGTTCTGTGACTTTTATCTTTTTTGTGTTGCTAACGGTAGCATAGTATAGGATAAAATTGGCTGAGAGTATTTGGTTATTTTTCAAGTTGGAAACTTGTGAATTACTACCTAGTGTAGCATACAAATTCTAAGCAGTCGTGGACTTTGGTAATTTGGGAAGTGTTCTGTTTCTTGAGGAATAAATCATTCTGTTATGTCATTATTAGCCGTGATCATGCTGGCTGGTTAACATTTTGCTGCAAGATGGTTTTCGGAGTTACTGTTGGCATTTACTGTGGCACGCACTGTGTTGTTAATTTTCATCATCCTTTTCGAGGGATCTTATCCCCACTGTGTAGGGGAGGGAGCTGGACTCAGATGTTCAGTAATCAAGCACCATTACAAAGCAAGCAGGGAGCAAGCTGAATTTGAATTAAGGAGTTTGTTTAGAAAACCCTTGGTCTTACTTGCAAGAGCTGGGAAGGTCTTCTTTCCTTTCCTTTACCCAGCAGTCCCCAAAAGAGACAGCTCCGCTCTCCCCTGATTAGGCCCTGACATTATCTGAAGTTGGTAAGCTGCCAAGTGCCATCCTTCATGTTTTCATGGGGAGAGTTGAACTGCGTAGAGGTTAAGTAGCTTCACTTGCTAGTCTTGCCTCCCACCGTGGTAGTTTCAACTCTGAATAGATGAAATGTATACCCAGTTTTAAAAACCACACTGACCAAGCACTACAGAAAGATAGCCCTCACTCTGCCTACAGACTGTTTTCCAGAGGTAGCGTAATTGCTGTCACCGTCCTGTGCCCCCACAGTATTTAACGCTTAGGGTAGTGTTGGGCTCTTCACATAGGTGGAATCAGCGAACCGTGGATCAGAAAATACAGCCTTTCGTCTTTTCAGTAGTCTTTGCAGATACTGAGGAAGGGTGGTTCTCCATTGAAGGCCTGTGACCACCCTGTGTGACGTCCGTGGGCACCATTTGTCCAATCCTCAGGTTATTATTAGCAGTTTCTTTAGCAATGAAGTACATTTTAATTAAAGTGTGTACGTGGTCTTCTTAAGACATATGATGTTGCATACTTAAACTATTGTATTTTGCAAGCATGACCTTTATGAGAACTAGGAAACCAAAAATTCATGTGACTCACTTTATGGTACTGATCAGGAACCAAACTTACAGTATCGTTGAGGTGTCCATGTATTCAAATAATGAAAAAGGTTTGGCTCACAATCCTTTGTTATTCCATAAAGATTGCTTCCAGGATACCCACCCACCCACCCACACATGCACACGCAAATACCAAAGTCTACGAGTTCTTGGGTCTTAAGGTACGGTATTTTTGTGCAAACTTTCATACACTTATCCTGACTGTGCTGCTTAGAATTCCCAGTGCAGTGTAAACACTTTCCAAAAGTCACTATGCTACGTCATGTCGGGCACTGTGCAAAGGAGAAGTGACCCACTGACCATGCTGGCACAGTGGCTTGTGCCCATCACCTGCATTCAGGGAGATGGAAGAGCTGTAGCTCGTGCCCATCGTGGGCAGCAGTCATTCAACAAGAGCGTGTCGCAGAATAAAATAGTTTTTCAGTGGGCTGGGGATGTAGCTCATTGTGGAGGTCCTAGGTTCAGTTCCCAGCACTGCCCCTCAGGAAAAGTTTATTTTCCAGTTTGCAGTTATTTGAATCTGAGGATGTGAAACCTGAATTTATTGAAGTCTGGCTGTATATATTTAGAGATAGAGTCCACACACATTATGCAAGTCTACACTAGAGAATTTTCATAGTAATACGAATTTAATATCATTATTTAATGTTGCATTCTCTTGTACTCATTTAAGGTTACTTTTTTTTAAAGATTGATTGATTGATTGATTGATTGATTGATTTGATGCAGGGTCTTACTACACAGGTTAGTGATCCTCCTGTCTCAGCCTCCCCAGCACTGGTATTATAGTTGTTGGACACTACACTGGGTTTCAGTGGCAGATATGGCCCAGGGCCAGCACAGCATGCAGTGCTGGGGATTGAACGCAGGTGCTTGCTCTTGCTAGTCAGGGGCTTACTTATTGATGGTCATACAGGTTCTTTTAGCCTAGGGGTTGTGTGGTTAGACGTGTGGATGAACACTGAAATACCGGTGACACGCACTTCATTGTCATCTTTGCCCTGTTTTCTTTGCTGTAAAATGGGCCCATATTCACTGCCCAGGGCAGTCAGATAGCTAACATTTGGTGTGCTTGGTAAATTTTCTTGGGAATGAGTGGTGATTAATGTTATATGCATACCCACCTCCCAGAATACTGATTAACGTAAGTGCACAAACTTTGCTTAGATCTTGCCAAACTGACCTTCGTAGAGGCTGTGCTAATTATAATTAGCACAACTGCCCTTCTAAGAGAGGAGTGAACTGTATAGTCGCTGAAGAAATTTGAGCCTCAGTTTAGCCTTGCTTTTTTAGAGCCTGTTCAAAGAAATTGCTTTTATTTTGGGGTTTTCTTTTGGGATTACTGAACGTGTCCTAAAATGTTGGTGTGTTCACATCACATTGCATTTTTTTAGAATTGGCTGAAAAAGTTACGTGCTGCTCTAGAAAAAAAGTTGATTCCAAAAAAAAAAAATTGCCAAGGTCTGCTTTGGTGTCTAGGTTTAGAAGAAACTAAATATTTTGTAAAGGATTACCAAAATTTAGAATCTTATAAAGCTACAACTTTTTTTAAGGTTGGGTAAAATTTGATAGTCCCAAGAAAAATTTGGTGAACAGTGATTACACTGTCTTTTTGTTTAGATATAAATCAAGAGTTGATCCACTGCTTCTCTTTTTTGGATTTCTTTAATTATCAGGGTGATTTGCTCTTGCTAATTGTTTCCTAGATTAATTTTAGCACAGTCCTGCTTCCCTTACCCAGCACTCCCCACCCAATCCTGCCAACAAGGCATCTGTTTAGGAATCTCTGCCTCTGCATAGCTGGGATATTTTAGGGATAGTGCTCTGACCAGCAGCTGAAGTGTTGGCTATAAGCTGCTGACACCTGTTGAAAAGTGCCAGTAATTTTAGTTTTAGAAACCTCTAGAACTTTCCACATATGTCAATTATGAGATCACTTGGTCTACCCCATTTACTTACTCAGTAAGCACATACTTAGTAGTTGCCATGTGGCAAGCACATTTTAGAAGTTTTTTGTTTCCTTAGAACAGTGTGTTGCTGCCATAGGGAAACTTGGGGCTTCAATTACGTCAGTGTCTTGTGTGTCTGAGAACACACTTCATATTGAACTTCCATAGGTTTTATTTATAGCATTGTAGGAGCACCTTAAGTTTGGTTTTCACAAGTGTTTGTTATGATTTGAGCATAGGAGATGCTCTTTGATTCTGGGGAGCATATTTCCTAGTTTAGTATGCCTTAGTTCTTAACTCAGATTGGAAAGATAAGTTACAGTGTTGCCCAGTTGATGAAGCCTTCCACCCAGCTCCTTCTTCGGAAAAAATTTTCTGATTATGGGATTAATACTTTCCAGGGTTCAGAAAAACAAGTTCAGGACCCTTTGTCAGTAAGTGATGGAAAATGAGAGGAGAGGCAGACCTGACTGTTACCATTTCCACAATACCCCCCCTCCTACGTTTGTGACAGACGTGAAGTCTCTTGCCTTGGGTATGTTTAACAGAAATTCTTCCTTAGCCTCACTAGAAAACATGGGAATTAGAGAATTATTCTGGATCTTTAAAAGTAGTAATAGTATAAAAGAGATCTTACATACTCACTAGCGGTGTAAAATTAAATCCCACTTTTCTGTATTTTAAGCTTTTTATGTTGCTGCCTGTTTATTTTACCTCCTGTGGTGTGTGGCGAGAACCCTTTAAGCTTTAGTAAATTTGCATTTTTCTAATAAGTGTGAGCATCTTCTATTCTTGCTTACACTAGATATATCCTCTTCGTTTCACTTGCTTTTTTTCAAATTGTATTTTTTTTTAAACTCCTGAGTCTTGAAAGTTCTTTATGTAATCTAGATGCAGTTCTAATCAGATAATGTAATCAATATTTTCTTACCAGACTGTTTGTTGCCTTTCAATGAGATTTATTTCTAGGGCAAAATTTATTGGATGAAGGCCAGATTAGTATTTTTCTGTATAGACTGTATTTTTGGTACTCTGTCTGAAAAATTTTTGACCAAGCTTTAAACACCAAAGATTTTTCCTAAAAGTTTTATAGTTTTGCCTTGGAGCCTGTTCTAACTTGTTACTTTTTATATAACCTCGAGAGACTGAGGTCACATTTCTTTTTAGGTTTTGGTGGTTGTTGGATGATAATCATTTCAGCACCATTTATTGAAGAGTGTACGCTTCTTTGAATTGCTTTTGCATGGTCTGTGCCAGGGTTCTGTGTTCTGTTCCATTGGTCAGTGTGCATCTCTGCCCATACTACAGTGCTGACTATTATAGCTATCTAAATCAAATGAGTGTGCTAATTCTTCTCATTTTTTCATCTTTACAATAGCTTTTTTTAGCTCTTTTGCCAATCCATACAAATTGTAGAATACTCTTTTCAACAGTTATGAAATCTCACTTAAGAGTTTGGTTAAAGTTTCATTAAAACTAAATGCACATTTAACCATACCATCTAAGAAATTACAGGTCAGGACACTTGTCCTAGAGAAACTAATGCTCACTATAAGTCTGTGCATTGATTGATAATAGACCAAAAAACAACCACATAGGTCTCAAGAATATTTTGTTCAGACCCACAGTCTCGTAGTGTATGGTTATATTCTGTAAAGGAGAAATACAGACAATAGTGTGGGTTACCCAGGCCTAGGAAGAGTGGGGAGCAAGGGCTACGTGTGATTCTTTGGTGGTGTTGAAAGAAGTCTGCATCTGTCTTACTTTTTTCTCCTGCCTGACACACAAAATTAAGGAAGAAAAAGTGTAATAGCTCACAATTAGTGAAGTTTTCAGGCCATTCTGGGCTGGCTCCAAGGCAGAGTGGCACAAGGCAGAGGACAGTCATTCATGGAGACCGAAAACAGCCAAGAGCAAAGGGAGGAGCAGTGGCTTGGAGGCTAGCAAGCTTCTCTCCCCTCCTCACATTGTATGCAGATTCCCGGGGCGGGTGTAGCACTCATACCCATAATCGCCACATTGGACCATGAATTAATCCCGAACTCCAGAATCTGCCCCGTAACTGCATGAAGCTTTGAGGGGACACCTTGACACAAACTATAACAGCATCTTATTTACAGCAGCGATTGCACAGATCTCCACAGCACAGTGGTGTGGAGTTTGGCGTGCGCACTAGGCCAAAAGGGGGTCAGGTTTTCCATGCTATTGTGGTTATGCACTCTGTCACCATTGGGCAAATGTGGTCAAGGAACCTATCCATTATGGGGGACTGCTCTACTGTTCTTACATCTATGTGTGACTGTGTATTTCAAAGTTGAATGGTTAAATTTTTAAGTTTTTTTATATGCCTGTGCTTTATTTTTAAAAGGCAAAAGTTAATATTTAATAATCATGGTTATATTAGAAAAAAGAGCAAGAATTTTTCTTTGAAAAGGGGAAATTAGGGCCAGCGACATAGCTCAGTGTACTAAGTGCTTGCTTAGGTAAATGTAGGGGTGAGGGTTCGATCCCTGGCACTGCAGGCGCACTGAGCTGGTGATGGAGTCCGGGCGTGGTGATGCATGCCTGTAATCACAGCACTAGGGAGGAAGAAAATGGGAGGAGCACTACGTGTCCAAGCTGTATAGTGAGATCCTGCACACGCACTAAAAAGAAAAACTGGAAATTAATGTAAATGAGATAGCAATTTGCGCTGCTGTTTATCACATTAGTTTTCAGACTGCCTTTCACTTCTTACAAATAGACTTTCCTTCAAGGTTAAAATACTAGGATGTTTTATATAGTGTGTATATCTTTGAACCTTTCATATTTCTCCTATTAAAAGAACTTCCTGCCTTCAGAAACTTGTTTCAGTTCTCATGTGAGACTTACGTTAACTCTTTTCCCTCCCAGGTTTCCTCCTGTTTCATAGCCAACCGGAACAATGTTCTACGCACATTTTGTCCTCAGTAAAAGAGGGCCCCTGGCCAAAATCTGGCTGGCGGCCCATTGGGATAAGAAGCTAACCAAAGCCCACGTGTTTGAATGTAACCTGGAGAGCAGCGTGGAGAGCATCATCTCGCCAAAGGTATGCGGGGGGGTGACGTCTCCCAGTTAGTTCACTCGTGTGTGAGCCAGCTTACAGAGCAGGTCTTCAGGAGGTCACTGTGGATGTATGTTGGAGGCAAGGAAAATGTTTTATTGACATTCCAGTGTTATTATTTTGTCTTTATCACTTCTAGGTAGGTTTTGATGTGTCACAGTTTGATGTTTTCTTTAAAAATTCTTTAAGTGCGCAGATACTTTTTATTTGTTTTAGTGGCAAATAAGCATAATGTAACACTGTCCAAATATTTTATAATTGACCTTCTAAGCCTTTTTACACTTTAGTGTGTGAGTGTGCTTAGTTTAGGATTTAGAAGATATTCAGAGAGGGACTCCCTGGGCGTCAGGCCGCAGATCTACCTGTCTTCATCTACCTAGCAAATCTCTTCACACACTTGTTTTACCTCAGTCTGGCAGCCACCTTACACATTCCATGCCAGGGCACTCTTCCACCAAAAATTTGCTCCCTCCCTCATAGCAATTGTGACTTCCATGAAGATGGAAGCCTTAATCCCTTGTTGACTTCTACAAATGTACTAAAGCAATGGCTTCTACACTTGTATTTCACAAATAGTAACTTTTAAAGCACTATAGAATTTTTACTTTGCCAAGAGAAGACCTGTAAAGCACAAGATGTAATTGTTATCTACTATGATAATTAGTATTTTATTGAACAGACATGTTAACATCAAAAATTTGTGAAAGGCCAATCTAGAAGGAAAAGTTCCTAAACACACTTATATGTGTATTTTAAGTGCCTTGTGCTTTGTTTTTACACCTGTGCACAACTTCTGCATGTGTGCACCACCTGTCCTGTAGTGAGTGTTCCAGGTCACAGCTGGGGCCAGCATTGGGGAATACTCTTTTTAGGTTTGCCAGCTTAGAAAGTGTTGGTGTAAGTAGCAACAGTCTTTATTGTTGGAAGAGTCAAAGAAGCTCAAGAGTAAGACCGGGGGATATAGCAGAGAATGGTTCTGAAAAGTGCATATTACTAAGTAAAATCTGAAGAGCCATTTATGTGGTATGACTCCAGCTGTAGAACACTGGAAAAAACACTATGGAGACAGTAAAAAGACTAGCGAGGGAGAAAAGGGAGGTACAAATAGAGCACAGAATTTTCTTTTAGAGCAGTAAGCTATTCTGCCTTCTCGTATGGTTTATTTGCATCATTTATATGTTCCTCCAAACTTATGGAATCTACAAAACTTAGAGTGGCTCTTAATGTAAACTGTGGACTGGGGTGGTAATCATTGTGGAATAAATGTGTCAGTTATAGAAATGTGTCATTATACTGAGGCTGTAGATGGTGGGGACGTGGAGGGAGAAATAGATGAAAAATTTCTACCTTCTCAGTTTTGCGAAGAGCCTGAGACTGCTCAAAAAAAGCTTATTCAGATACTACTAATATAAGAGTTATGGTCAGAGCTTTTTTCCATGCAGTCTTAACAAGAAGTCAGTATAATGCAGTTTTACGTAAATAGATGAAAAATCTTTATATGTATACATAACACAAAATATATGCACATAAACATTCACACAGAGAAACCTAGAAGGTATGCCAAGATAATATGGAAGATTTATGTAATGGAGGATCTATATGTTTTTGTCTTTTAAAAAAAAAAAAAAAATGTGGGCAGCTCAGCCCACCTTGGGAGCAGGGCTGGCACAGCATGTGGTACCCAGGATCAATCCTAGGTCCCTGGACTTTGCATAAGCTTGCCTAAGCAAGTACTTTAGCTCACCGAGCTATCTTGCTGGCCTGTTGTTGTCTTTTTAAAAAACATTTACTAGACATTTCTGGTTAAATCTCTCCCATTCTTAAGTCTTGAGGCTGATGTTTCTGATTGATAGGCTAAGTGTTATTCTCATTTTAAGATTCCTGCTGTTCATTAATAGCTGATGTCTGGTGCGAGCATGGCATTTTGCATTACTGGTAACTTGTATGAGAACATGATGGTGTATTTATTTTTAATGTTTATTTATTTATTTGGTATAGGGTCTCACTATGCATTTCAGACTCAGAGTGGTTGGTCCTCCTGTGTCAGCCTCCCAAGCACTGGGATTGCAGGCATGCTCCAGCACGGCATGTGGGCATGCGGTACTGGGGATTGAACCCAGGTCCTTGGGCTTCCCAGGCAGACGCTTAAATCACTGAGCTATCTCCCCAGCCCAATACTGTTTTAACATGTGTGCTTATTATTAAGATAAGTGAATAAATAGCAAAGGAAGAATTGCACTAGAGGTTGCTATGTGTAGCTAATTTGGAGCATCCATTAGCAAATCGCTGAGAGTGACTTTACTTTAAAAGCTAATGGTTTCATTGCACTTGAACGGGGCATTGGACCCATCAGGAGCGCTCCAGATGGGTGTGAGGTGGTGGTGCACATAGACAGCCACACAGCACTCAGTGCAGGAGTAACGTAAAAGGCAGTATGTGTGCAAGAGTGAGTAAGTGACTCACTTGGAAGTTTTTAAAACATAAGCAGGTTTTTGATTGATCTTCGTATTGCTGTAGGATGTAAAGATACTTCCACAAAGTCAACTGTTGCAAACATTTCTGGTGTTTGCTTTGCTGTGCAGTTCTTGTGAGGCAATGCTGATTTAGTTGTCTGGAGTGTCAGACTTGGGGATTGGTCGAGCCTGAAAGCTTGCATGGTCTCCAACCCCACCCTCCTCTTCGGCCCGCCGGAGGGCCTCTGTGAGCACCCTTTGCAGAGCTTCCTCTGGGCGTAGTAGGCTTGGGCTTTGTTAGATTTACTGCTTTTGGCTGACAGGCCTGCTCAGTGGCACTTGGTGCGGTAGCTCATCTTACCTACTCTGAACCACAGCTTTATTGAAACTCTTTAGACTGAGTGTCTCATTTTCCCAACACATTTTCACACTGTATACATTAGTGTTGATCGAGATCTGTCTTGAAATTGAACAGTAAAACTGGGTAAACTTCGGATGAAAAAAAAAGGTTGTTTTGGTATCCTTTGCAGTATTGATTTGTTGATCAAGTAATAAACAGAAACATAGTGAATGTGGTTTGAAAAACACTGTTACTGGAAGGATTGGGAACAGGAAGGGCTAGGATCATTGGTTCCCAGCTCAGGGATCCAGTTTGTGGGCAATTGTCACCTTGCACTTACCGTATGGTTACCATGGGCCGTTCAGACCCTGCCTTTCCAGAGCAGGAAAGAGCCAAGGAGGGCCTTCTTCCTAATGTTAGGGGAAGTCCTTCTCAGAAAGTCACTGGCACCCTGCCCTGTCTCTCAGTTGGCTGAGGTGCAGCCCATGCCCGTTTGGTCAGGCTGCTAGAGAGCTGTGAGACTGTCTTCCTTCAAGGGTAAGGACATTTTTCTGAAAGGAAACCAGCACTGAGGGAGCCAGCAGCGAGCAGGGCTCTTAGTGGGCAATCAGGTCTGTCTGATTCAGTTCCTTTTTCCCAGCTAGCTAGCTTCGGGCTATGGGACTTACCAGGTACTACTGTCTAGCTTGTTCTGGGAAGCGAAACTGTATAAAATAGCACAAAAATACAAACCTTGAGATACAGTTTTAAAACTTCAAAATTAAGTTACATTAATATTAATGTTTTATTCCTAGGTGAAGATGGCACTGCGAACGTCAGGACATCTCTTACTGGGAGTAGTGCGAATCTATCACAGGAAAGCCAAATACCTTCTTGCAGACTGTAATGAAGCATTCATTAAGATAAAGATGGCCTTTCGGCCAGGTATGGTATTTTCTTCTTTCTCTTTTTCTTTACTACTTTTTTTTTTTTTCCTCTATGGGTGTTTTCCATGTTTTATTGGAAAACTGTTAAAATACGTATTCTAGCTAACCCTTCAAAGATAACACAAGAAACTTGGGGAGGTAGAAGTTACAGGGAAGCTGCTTGAATCACATCTGCCTGAGGAGTTACAATTTTTTACCTTTTTTTTTTTCCAAAACACAGAAAAGTGAGTCATCAGACATTGAAACGTAGACAACTTTGTTATGGGATGATTGGTTATAGATCAGAAAAGACATTTTAAGATTTTTAGTTTTCCTTGAGTAATTTTAATGTACTCTTAAAATTAAATTCACTGTTAGTATATTGGAGTATTTGTATGAATTAAATATTCTATTACTTTTTTTAAGCATTGATGAAATGTTAGGTAAAATAATTTAGTATATGGGATTCTTTATTCAGTTATTTCTATTGAGGTTACATGCTAGTACTTCAGTTTATTCAGTACATGAACAGTAAGATGTTGGGAGAGCTAAGATTTTATTTAAAAGTAAAATATAGGCAAAGGCTGTGATGTTTAAGTGATTTCTAACATGTGGCCCCTAAACACATTTTCTTTAACTAGCATACTTACTGCTTACTTTTGTCTTTTAAAGTAGTAGTTATGTATTTTGGTTAGCTTGAAATATATATCCTGTTTTTTTCATTTACTTATACCAGTGTCATATTTTAAATTTTTATCATGAAACTTTCAATGTAGCTAAAATTGTGTCCCTGCTGCTCTCCCTAAAATAATCAGCTTCTTTGTAGTCATTGCTTTTCCTCTTGTGGTAACTTTCATGTTTAGTTAGAGACCCATTATTGATACTTGTTACTAAATATCATTTTAAAAAGATTTATCAGCTTGGACATAATTGGAGCTTGAGCTTTTTTATTTGAAGCAGGTAGATACCTTATAATAGAAAAGCAAGTACTTTTGCTGCAAGGTACTTTATAGAAGATGCCCTCAGGGAGCCACTCCCCCACTGCCTCCTACCCCCGGGGCCTCTGTGGGTGTCTTCCAGCTTGGTAATTTCTTTCGCAGGTGTTGTGGACCTGCCTGAGGAAAACCGAGAAGCAGCCTATAATGCCATCACGCTACCTGAAGAGTTCCATGACTTTGATCAACCATTGCCGGACTTGGAGTATGTCTCTTCTGTCTGCTGCTCACTGTCTCCTGCTCCCTCATTCCCTTCCTCTGTCTACAGAAACATTTTTCTGGCCTTCACGCTCAGTTCTTTGGAATGTGTTTATATTGAGTTAACTAGCTAAAATGTATACACTTTTGTTTAGGATAAGGTATAAATATAAAATCTATGTAGACGGTGTTTCTTCTCTTAAGAAAGTTAGTTGTCAGCTCATAACAGCTAGGACATGAGAATTCAGTTATTGCTTAATTTTTTCAGAGTATATTAAAGTTACTTAATAGCTGTATTCCTGTCCAGGCTGTACTCAGAACCCATTTTTTTTTTTATTTTCAATAAATACAACTTTTTGAAGAGCAAAAAAGTTTTGTTACCACAACATGTGTAGGAAGACACAGCGTGCCATGCAGATGGCCGTTACAGCAGAGCGCGGTTTCCCTGTCTGTCCTTGGCTCCTCGGAGTCCAGCTGGTGAGGAGTGTGGCCACAGCTCTGCAGTGGCCCTGCAGCGCAGTTGAGTAAGGACGTCCTCTGCCCAGCCCCGTTCTGCTCTTTGGAACAATCTGTGACTTAAATTAAAAGAGATGTTTCGCCCACTTGCCTATTGAGAGCTGTCATTGGACAGTATTTTGCTGTTCTACTCTTTTTTCCCTATACTTATCTTTTTTTAAATTTTATCATGACCATTTTTAAGCACAGCTTAAAAGAGACTAGAATTATAAACTCCATGTGTCAGTTTATCAATACATTGCTAGATTTTCTATTATCTTTTTTTTTTTTTTTTTTGGTGGGGGAGTGTTTGGTTAGTTGCTTATTTGGGTTTATTTTTTGTTATTGCTTGTAGTTCAAGCTAGCTTTCAACTCACTGTACTGTAGCCCAGGCTGGCCCCAATCTCAGCAATCCTCTTGTCTCGGCCTCAATGCAAGTGCCCAGACTTGTTCGCCTACTCAGTGTACCCCAGTGGCATGACCAGGGATCGAACCCTGGTCCCTGCACTTGCCCAAGCAGGTGCTTGGTCTACTGAACTATCTTGCTGGCCCTAAGTTATTTTAAATAAAATAACAGATAATTTTATCTGTAGTGCTTCAGTATTGTCTCTATAGAGGTAAGAGGTTTTTTAAGCAAATATAACAATATTGCACCTTACAACTACCAGGGATTTCATAGTATCACATCCCATCAGCAGTTAAATGTCCCTAATCAGTACACGAGCGCTTTTGTTTTCTATGTGTGTGCCTTTCAGTTTGGCACTGCACAAAGTCTGCAGACTGCATTGAGTTGCTATGTCCCGTAAATCTTCTAAGATCCTATAGGCTCTGTATCTCTTCTGTTTCTTCCTTTTCCATTTAGGTTCAAAGCAAACTTGGTTGTTTGTTTTGAAAAGTTTGTGTTCTGCATTTTTGTCAGCAATATTCCAGTTTGGTGTCAGGATCTGGGTCTCAGGAGAGTGGGGTAGCTTAAGTGGTCATCCTCCCCTGTCAGCAGGGGAGGAGCGCCATGAAAACTTCGGCCGCGCTGGCCGTTAGTCCGTCTGTCCTCTGCAGTGTGCGTACCATGCTCTATTACTGCACTCAGCTCATGGCTTCACATCATGAGTACCCAGTAACTTACAAATTATTCTCAGACTTTTGAAATTTAAATATGAAGCTTGTAAAACTTAATAGGTTATAAGTATAAAGGAACTAGAGTGTTTTTTCCCTCATAAGTACATGACAGTTTGGGTGTGTGCCCTTCATTTACAGTGACATTGACGTAGCCCAGCAGTTCAGCCTGAACCAGAGCAGAGTGGAGGAGATCACCATGAGGGAAGAAGTTGGGAACATCAGCATCCTCCAGGAAAACGACTTCGGTGAGCGGAGCTGAGTGCTCACCATCCGTGTGGGTGTAGTTACATTGGGTCACTGCTGGAAGTTTCCAAAGGAGACAAGCTTTGACACTTACACACAGTCCATATTACATTCTTAGGAGAGAAAGACTTCAAAAATACTACGTTTTTCAAGAAAAGAATTTATTTTGCTCTCGGTGTAGTGTCGTTTCCCTTAATGGGCCAAGCTTGAGTTCATTCTTTGCCCACTGTTTCCCATGCACAGTAGTTGAGCCTGTACTGTGATGTGTATGAAATTCCCAGCATTAAAATAACGACTAGTTGTATGAGTGCAGCCACTGTTCCAGGCTTCAGATACTCAGAACTGATGGCAAACCAGTCATTTCTTGAAAGAAGTATGTTGTTAGGAAGTTCAACTCTTAGAACGTCAGAGTAACCAAACATATTTACATTTACCTATTGTGTTTAGCATAACTTGTATTTAGATAAAAGTCTGATTTAGTTAGTCATGCCCCCCTAGGATTGCAAAGTTTAGAAAGACAAATAGGAGATGAGACATCATCACGGTAATACAGCCTTGGCTGTTCTCTTTCAACAGTGTTTATTCACTTTCTCAGCTTATGGCTTCCTGTAATTTTTTAGGTGACTTTGGAATGGATGATCGGGAGATAATGCGAGAAGGCAGTGCTTTTGAGGACGACGACATGTTGGTCAGCACTAGCGCTTCCAACCTCCTCCTGGAGCCTGAGCAGAGCACCAGCAATCTGAACGAGAAAATCAACCACTTAGAATATGAAGACCAGTATAAGGATGACAACTTTGGCGAGGGAAATGATGGCGGGATATTAGGTAGGCCCATGGAACTCTGTTATTTTGAGTTATTTATTCAGTTGTGATGTTCTGGAGTAGCTGCTGATTCTTTTGTCTAGAGCATCTGCCTAGACCCTCTCATGTGAGTTAGGATCCACCCAGTGAGTTTTCTATGACAGTAACCTGGAAGTGTTGAGAAATAAGCCTAATTTTTGTGAAAATCTTTGTCTCAAGAGTTCTCAGCTATTACTTTTATAAGCTGTTCTGTGTTGGTTACCTGTATTCATAACGTTTTTACATATACAAACTAGAAAATAAATTATGAATGAAAAATTATTTCACGTACTATTTACCTTGAGAAACAGATACAAAGTGAATACAGGTTTAAGTGAAATCTACTTTGCCATAATTTCCAGTCTTTGGTATTTCCTGTCCACTGTTAACTGACTTCTCCTGTTGCAGATGACAAGCTCATTAGTAATAACGACGGTGGCATCTTTGATGACCCGCCTGCCCTCTCTGAGGCAGGTGTGATGTTGCCGGAGCAGCCTGCGCATGATGATATGGATGAGGACGACAACGTGTCAAGTAAGCACTTGGTCTTGTGGTTCTGGGGGTGACTAGGGGCATCCAGAACAACACAGACTTTAGAGAGCAGGAGGCAGCAGTTCTGCCTTAGCAAGCTAGAGCGCCCTCGACTGCGGTGCTCCTGACGATCGCTGCTCCTGCGCCTCTCCCTTTCTTGTGCATTTGAGTTCAACTTTTCAGGCACTGCTTCAGAAGGTTAAACACTTTCCTAGCACCAGTAGGATCTCCCTTAGTTTCAAAGAGATGATTCTGTCTCCGTTTATAGGATAAATATTGTGTACCCAAGCCCATTGTGACTGTATTTGTTTTTATAGTGGGTGGGCCTGATAGTCCTGATTCCGTGGACCCTGTTGAGCCAATGCCAACTATGACTGACCAGACAACACTTGTTCCAAACGAGGAAGAAGCCTTCGCCTTGGAGCCCATTGATATAACTGGTAAGCAGGCTTTAGGCTGCGCAGCTGTCAGAGCTTGGGCTTGTTCGTTTCCACCAATCCCTGCTCCTGTGGAGGACAAGCTGCTCTCTCCCTGTCCCAGACATCGGGCATAGAATCTGCTCTAAGTAGAGCTTGAGTTTCTGTAGAGGATCTCTTCAGGTGACTATAAAAGCGTAGAGTGAATTCTTCAGAAGGTTACCGCATGTTCTGAGGTTCTTGAGTTGCTGGCAGCACTTATGTGACAGTTAGTCTCGAGTTGCTGGCAGCACTTATGTGACAATTAGTGAACATTGCAACTTGTTTTACAGTCCATTTTGACTGGTTATCAAAAAATTGTACATTGTATACATTTGGGCTGCAATGTGGGAAAATCTAAAAGTACTCTTTCAGGAAACAATTTGAGTATCAAATTTTGGTGCTTAACATTACAAAACATGTTTAAATGGCTTGCTGCCTCTAAATAACAATTTACAGTATATAAATCATGACATGAAAATAAAAAATTGCTAGGTGGTTCACAGAGACAGTAGGGTTGCCCTTGTAAGAATTTGCCCTCTGGAAAGGATAGGTAGAGGACGCCAAGATGAGAGCTGCTCAGTGCCATTGTATTTTTTTTTTTTACCTTGTTTGTGTTTTGAACCTTGTGAGTATTGTATGTATAAAACCTACAGAGCATAATGTCTGACAGTAAGATACTTAGCAGTTTAATCCCACGAGCTCCTTAGAATATGCATATAATGCTACCCACTGTGCCAAGTCCCACAGATTAGAAGTACCCAGCAAGTAGGCCAGAGGGAGTTTCAAGTCTGATTGGACTTGAGCTTGCTATACTTTATCGGGCAGCCTCCACGGCCGCCATATCCGAGTCATCACTTGGCTGTTGACTCCAGCAGCATTTACAGCCCACGTGGAGACTGGCTGCACCAGGGTGCTGAGTGTGTGACGCCGTCTCTGTGTAGGTAACCCTGTTGCAGACTTAAAATGAAGCCTCCAGTAAGGTGAAGTTAGCTTTTTTGTGGTCACACTGCTAGTGGGTGTCAGAACCCCGTACTCAAGCCTGCCTCACGCATGATGTGTGTGCTGCAGCAGAAAGGCTCGTGCGCTAAAATGTGTTGGGCCTGGCGTTACGGTACTCACGCCACAATGTTTTACTGAAGGCCTGTTGTGTGCCAGCCTCAATTCTAAGTGCTGCTGCAACAGCGTCAGGCAAGCAGCCAGCCGAGATCAGCAGCAGTGTGCTTGCTGCCGGCCTCCCGGAGAAGTGACCTTAGTTTCTTTGATTCTAGTCAAAGAAACAAAAGCCAAGAGGAAGAGGAAACTAATTGTGGACAGTGTCAAAGAGTTGGACAGCAAGACTATTAGAGCCCAGCTTAGTGATTATTCTGATATTGTTACAACTCTGGATCTGGCTCCACCCACCAAGAAGCTGATGATGTGGAAGGAGACGGGAGGAGTAGAAAAGCTGTTCTCTTTACCTGCTCAGCCTCTGTGGAATAACAGACTACTGAAGGTAATACATGTTATGCCATCAACCCTTTTAATAATCTCTCTCTTTTAACTTCCTCTAATAAACTGTTGGCTGTATTACCCTAACATGAACTGTGCTTCAATCTGCCTTCCTCGGACATTGTCTGAATGGAATGCGAGGTGGCTGTGCTTCTCCCACAGTCCTGGGTTCTGACTATCGGAGGATTTTTTTGCTCATAGACTTTTCTGTTTGCATTTGATCCAGATTATTTCAAAATTAGGGTCCGAGGCACCTGGTGAGCAGTGTGCCCTTTCATGTGGGCGTGTGGTGGATTTTTATGTAGTATGATTTATTTGCAAATTAATACGTCTTTTCTTTTCTAATAGCTCTTTACACGCTGTCTTACACCACTTGTACCTGAAGACCTTAGGAAAAGGAGGAAAGGAGGCGAGGCGGACAATCTGGATGAATTCCTCAAAGAATTTGAGAATCCAGAGGTTCCTAGAGAGGACCAGCCACAGCAGCACCAGCAGCGTGACGTTATCGGTCTGTTCATTGGGGATGTTTCTGGGTGAAACGCATACATACTTGGCTTAGCACGTACCTCTGTTGCCAAAGTAGAATAAACGAATGCCAGAGTAGGCTCAAAATTCATGAATAGGGAACAGCTTGCATCTGACAGCCATATTAGATGCAGGGCTTCATTTTGGGACAGATTTAAAGTTCAGGAGTGGCCAGTTGGCAGTGCTTAGCAGGGATTCCCAGCCGCAGGCCACGCACCAGTACCATACAGGGCCTGTGAGGAACTGAGCCGCACACCAGGAGGTGGGCTGTGGGTGGGCAAGCAAAGCTTCCTGTGTGTCTGCCTTTGGATGGATCGGAGGTGGCATTCAGTTGCCCTGCCACATGCACGTGCGAGAAATCTAGGTTGTGTCCCCGTTAGGAGACTCTTGATTCCAAAACCATCATCACGTGGACACCTTATCTGTGGAAAACTTGTCTTCCTCGAAACCAGGCCTGGACCTTGGTGTCAGAAATGTTGGGGACTGCTGTGCTAGAGGAATTATCTTTGTAGAGCTGTAGTTCTCTTGGTTTTTATTGGAGAAAGTAGCTTTGCGTATGTCTTAGTGTTCAGCTTTTAATAGTAAAGGGCCCTGAAGTCACACGCTTGAGTCTTTTAATGTGACCCATTGCAGATGAGCCCATTTTGGAGGAGCCAAGCCGCCTCCAGGAGTCCGTGATGGAGACCAGCAGGTCCAATGTGGAGGAGTCGGCCATGCCCCCACCACCGCCACAGGGAGTCAAGCGCAAGGCTGGACAGATCGATCCGGAGCCTGCGATCCCTGTAAGCAAGCACAGCGCTTATTGGTGGCAGCAGGAGGCGTCTGGGGAGCCCTTGTGAAGTACCGTGTGTTAAGCAAAACGTGGCAAGGCATGGGTCTGCAGGGTGATAGCTGAAGCTGTCATTGCGCCCACCGCCAGGACTAGATGAGCTGGGTCTGCAGAGCCCCTCATGCAGCCGTGCTTCAGAGCACTGCAGTCTGAGCAGCCTCGGCCAGTGTGCAGTCCTTGGCTCTGAACTTGGTTCTTGTTTACTTAGCAGACATTCCTCAATATCTCTAGTGAGAGACAGTTTTAGGTCATCTCATTGAGTAACCAACATAAACTTTTCAAGCAACTGAAAAAATTGTAAAGTGGCATCTGGCTATTCCACTTCTGGTTTGGCTGCTGTTGCCATTCAGTTAGTTAGGTTAGGAAAAGAAAGTAGGGAGGTCTGGTTTAGTTCTTCCCAATTTTAAATCTATAGCATAAAAGAGAGGAAAGGAGGCTCTCCGTCCCCTCAGGCTCTTGGCTCAGCCTGCATGGAGAGCTGTGGTAGACCCTTCTGCCAGCTTTAGGAACTGTTTTCTCTGCCCTCTGCTGGTAAAGAGTTGTCGTGAAAAGCGTTGGTAGCTATGAGCTCAGGAATAAGAACAGTGATGGGTAGGTGGCTCCAACACGGCTCTCCTGGTAATGCTTTGGTTGAGATTTTGTTTTAGAAAATGTTCTCAACTATTAATCATAAAAGAAATACAAGAGAGAGCCTCAGAAAAATCATCTCATTCCTTGTATTTCCTACTAGAAAAGTTTGAGAGTCAGAGCTTAAGATTTTAAGGTATGTTGTAATAATAACTTTAAGATAATTTTTATGAGTACACCATATTGGGCTCCTGGGTGGTGTTTTTATTTTTTCTTTCTAAACGTTCTTGCAGTAGGTTTTTTTGGTTTGATGGTCTTTATGGGAAAACGTGGAGGCATAACCCTCATATTTCCTCCATCTAGAAAATGTAGCACCTACATGTGCTGTTCACATGTTTAAAGGAAGCTACTTTCTGCGTGTAGCTTAAGATGCTTCCTTTTCATGGTTTTCAGCCTCAGCAAGTGGAACAGATGGAGATGCCACCCGTTGAGCTTCCGCCGGAAGAGCCCCCGAATATCTGTCAGCTGATACCAGAGTTAGAGCTATTGCCCGAAAAGGAGAAGGAGAAAGAAAAGGAAAAGGAGGAGGATGAAGAGGAAGAGGTAAGCAGGCTGTACAGTAGATATCTGAGGAGTGAATTCCTATTCCAAATCTAGCAAAAATCTTCACCAGTTTACTTTGAATACTGGACTAAGTTAATTGATGTATTGAAAAATGTTCAGGTGGGACCCAAATTGTACATCAGATTTAATGCTTAAATTCACGAGCACCTTTGTGGCCATGACAGGACACAGGGCCGCCCTTGTACTGATTTGCGGCTTGGCTTCTAAGCTGCTCGTAGCTGCGGTTTATCATCTGTAGTCCGTGGTCAGTGCAGTGCAATTTCATTGGCCTCTGATACAGCGTCTTGCTGTCTGTGGCCTAGAAGTTAGTAACCAGCAGTTTCCACTCATCTGTCTAGATTTTGGGTTGGTGTTAATGAGACCAGGGTAGGGCATTACTTGTGAATGTCAGAGTGGTTTATTTAAAAGTAGAGGAGCTCAGAAATTTCCTTTGGGTATGCTTTAGTTATCCAAAATATAAAAATGAAAGATAAAATATTTTAGTTTTCATTTCTCATATCACATGTAGAGGTTAGTGCTTTTTTAAATTAATACACATACATTGTTTTAAAGCCAGAATTTAGCTTCGCAGCTCCTCCAATTTCTGTGCCATTGTTTCACTGTCAAATCAAAATAACATTATTATGCATTCTGTCGTATATGAAGCTGTCGGCCCCCACATTTTGGATTGTGGTGCGTAGCTCTCTGTACCTGGGAGCATAGCAGCAGTTGCCCCGCACCACTTGGAAGCCCACAGTCATACTGGCAGCAGCTCCAGAGTAAAACCTGAAAGGTTACATAGCCCGTTTCTGTTAGTACACAGTCCGTTACTGCGTGCTCGGCTCGTCACTGGGCTCCTGGCACCAGCCCGTGAGAAAAGCGAGCCTCCCCAGATGTGCGCTGCCTAGGACGTCATGCTGCACAGCGCTAGGTGCACTGGGTTGGGACAGACACTACACTGAGTGCATCATTGATTGATGCCTTTGCATAGGTTCACAAACAGAGGCACTGGTGCCCATGGCTGCGCAGCCAGCAGCAGGCCCTTGAGCACTGCTCGTAGCCTGCACCGTCCCGGCAGTGCCGAAGCTTGCACACAGAAAAAGGTTTGGTTGCTGAGACCAGGCTGTCCATTGTCACCAAGGACAAACTTCAAAATGCACAAAAGCCACCACATAATGTCATCGTCATAGTTAAGCAGCACTAAGTACAAGTTTCTGTTACAGTATGTGGTCCGAACTAACCTAGAAAAACTCTGCGGTGGTGCTAAGTAGCCTATGTTGCAGCAAAGCAGTTTTACCAGCATTTGGGGGTCACTTTCATTTAGGAAGAAGATGCGTCGGGTGGTGATCAGGATCAAGAAGAAAGGAGGTGGAACAAAAGGACCCAGCAGATGCTTCATGGCCTTCAGGTATGTGTGTGGCTTAGTGAGCAGGCTTCGTCAGGCCCTGTCCGCATCACTTCTGAAAGGGCAGTGCTAGCAGAAGGATGGGCCTTTGGGACACTTGTCAGGACAACATCATTTCAAAACACTCCAGTTGAATAGATAGACGGAGCCACAGATAGCCCCAGGACACGGAACGCTGCTCCGTGGTTCTCCTCCTGAGAGGCTGACCTGTGGTGATGTCCAGGGAAGCCCATTTGCATTGTCTTACTTTGGGGTGAGCAAAAAGTGACTTGTGGGACGTGCCATTTCATAGCATCTGATATCGCTGTCCTTCAGCCTCTGTACCAGGTCAGGCAGCCTTACCATCTATGAAATATCCAGCGCGGCACTCTCACTTTCCTGAAATAGATTTGGGCAAAGTTTTAAGTAATTAAGAACTAGTACGAGTAGATTTTAGTATTGTATCACATTAGCTGTCCAAAGAGATGAGTGACAGGGATCACGTTCAAGCCACTTGGATTTTTCTTGGTCTTTGTTGTGCTTTTGGGCAGACTGAAATAATGCGTCGGGCCTTTGCCTTAAGTAACCTGGGAATTACCCGGATAATATGCATGTAAGTCCAGCCCCATTCCAGACAGAATCTGTAGTTTTGACCTACCAGTTTGGCACCCTTTTTATATAACCTTATTGTTGGGAATTAATTATAACAGTTCTTTCTTTTTTGCTTTTATCTCAGCGAGCTCTTGCCAAAACGGGAGCTGAATCTATCAGTTTGCTTGAGTTATGTCGAAACACAAACAGAAAGCAGGCTGCGGCGAAGTTCTACAGCTTTTTGGTCCTTAAAAAGCAGCAGGCTATCGAGCTGACGCAAGAGGAGCCCTATAGCGACATCATCGCGACCCCCGGGCCAAGGTTCCACATCATCTAGGAGCTGGCAGCGTCATAACTAGTGTTCAGCTCCAGACCTGCAGATCGTCCGTGGGCAGGCCCGCAAAACCCTTTGAGGAAATTTAGATTTTTGTCTGTACAAAATCTCTGCCTTTTCTTTCATTTTTAAAAGTGTTTTTAATTCATGGATTTCATCTTTAAGGGAAATTGCTTATATGGGTTGTGTTTGTGTCAGTGGAGAAAACAGCATCCCAAGGACCCAGAAGATGATTTTAACAGTTCAGAACAGATGTGTGCAATATTGGTGCATGTAATAATGTGGAGTAACTGTCGAAAGGCATGATTTTTAGTTCTCTGTTAACTGTGTCAAAAGGAAAACCTGTCTAGGAAAAATGCCTGGCAGTTTGATTAAGAACTATGTTATGTGTTTGACAGGAAAAAGTATCCTCCATCAGTAAAACCAGCAGCCTGGCGACCTCTGTACGTAGAGATGGTACCTGAAACTAGAGGATCGCCACCTCGAGGTGTTTTTAAGGTGTGATTCGTAATGAGCGGGAGAGTCTGAGTTCGTACTGTGACTGATCCCCTTCAGCCGCCAAAGATAGGCCTGGCATGGCGGGAAACATGCTGGCTCAAGTCAGTCGTTCTGTGGCGTCTTTGTGGTGGATGAATTCTGCTGTCCTGAACTCTGTCGTCCCAGTGCAGCTCCAAAATGACCAGAAACAGACTTGTTAAAGAGAGGTAACTTAAAAACACTTAGAACTTTCCAGGAACTACAAGTTAGGGTTGAATATTCAGATCATGAAGATGGGAATTCTGCCGACTGGAAGGAAGGGCAGACGGTGGGTCATCCGGTGGGTCATCCGGTGGGCTTAACCTTTAAGCAGACCGTGCTGTAAATCTAACGGCTTCTCTGGTATTTATTGTAAGCGTCAGGGCTGATCTACTTTCCAGTGCTGCACACTGCGCACTCCTGTGTTTGGAACTTCATTTTAATAGCTTTTCAACCTAAATCCTATATCTGGTTTCCTGTAATTTAAATGAAGAAAAACACATCCAAATAAAGGCTTTATTATTTTAACAGACCAGATAGCACCAGAAATTATGTGACTATTGATGATTATCATAACTTCTTAACTTTTTAGGGCAACGTTACACTGAAAGTTCTGTCTTTAGTGTTGGCACTTTTGTGGGGAAAAAAATCACTTTTGAAACTCAGACTTCAGTGTATACCCAGTAATTTAAAATTATGTGAAATGCTTTAAATTTGAGAACTCATAATTACTGTTTTAACAATTCAGTGTTTGAGGCTGGTAATTGTATGAAATTGCTCTTGCAGTTTTATTTTCAATATTATGTGCCTGTAAACCATGGTCCTCCCCCTTTGTAAAAAGACATTGTAGATAATTGAATGTTTGATTACTGAAAGGTCATTAGTTTCTCGTTACACATTTTGTTAGTCTGGTTTTTGTTGCTTATCGGGTTTAATATTGTTCTTGGAAATAGTTGATGCTATGTTATGTATAACTTTTCTAATAAAAGTTGTGTTATAAGCTGTTAATTTTGGAGTATTGGTTATTCAGGTGCTAGTGTTTACCAGAGGGAAAAAAATGGCTGAAAAAGTTAACATGGCCAAGTGCTTCCTTGGTTCACCCTGTCTGGAATAATTATCACACAAATTAAGTACCTTGGAGAGTGCAGTGATCACATGACCAGCAGCTGTGGCCTAGTTGTAGCCTGACTTTAAGAGGCTACGCAGTCGTAAACCAGCTGACCTCGGCGAGGTGCTTCAAGTGCATGAGTATACAAGCCAGAGTTCTCTGCCTTCACACACACGGCTCACGTGCTGGCGTGGAGACAAGTACAAGACCTCAAATCAGAAATCGAGAACGTTAGCATGGAAGCCGGTATCCATGGGGCACTCTGGGTGGGCCTTGGGGGAAGGCGAGGTTCGCAGCAAGGGACAAGGGTTAGGCACAGGGAGGTACCAGTGAAGTGTCCAGCACAAGCACCCCCACCTGCCCCCCCCCCCAGGAAGGTGGGAGAAGGCCAGACCAACACGGCTGGGACAGTGAGGCTATCAGGAAGTGACATAGGAGATAGTAAGCTATGTTGTATGTCTTGGTTACATTTCTCCCATCGGTGAGACAAAATCCTGATGTTCAAGGAGGACAGGTTTATTTAACTCCTGTTGTAGCGGTTTCAGTCTTAGCTGGATAGGTTCAAGGCAGGATGGCACAGCACAGGGCCATTGCAGATGACAGGCAGGGAATAGCAGAGCAAGCAGACAAGCCTCACATCCAGGCTACTGGTGCCCAGCTGGCAGGCTGCCTTACCACCCATCCTTAATCCTAGCATTGCACCCTAAATCAGTCAGACATTGAATTCAGGCTCCTCTGAAAAAGCCTCACCTATGACTACATGAGGCTTTAGCGGACAGCTAGCCAGAGCACTAGCAGGGCTTCTCAACATTGCTGCCCTGTACTCACGGAGTCTCCAGAAAACACTGATGTCTGGCCCTCAGCCCTGTGAAATGTCTACATGATTTGATTTTTTTTTTAAGAGTAGGATATATTTATTAGGGGAAAGAAAGCTTCTGTCCCAGAAAAGGACAGAAGAGGGACCCCAAGCAGGTGACCCCCCCAGGAAGCTGTTTCTTCCAGAGACTTTTTATAGTATAAAACCATGCGGCAAGGCAGGTCTAAGGTAGTAGAGAACATGGGAACTTGCTTAGGTGGGCATGAGGTGGGGCAAAGCTATGGCCAACCAATGAGATTACAAGCACCATTGCCCAGGTAAAATTGATTAAATCCAGTACCAAATGGGGAAGCGAGTCACGTAGACAGCGGGCATGAACACAGGACAGGGTCTCTTCCTGTTGGGGGTTGGGTTAGTGACTTTTCAAGGCCATTGATAACTATTTAGAATATCAATCCCTGATTGAGTTTCCTCTCATAGTCAAGTGACACTGCTGTGGCTGAGGTGTCACTGCCAGGGAATAATCCCTCACAGTGCCACTGTTAACTGGCATTTAGGAAAAGCTCACCTGGAAAGAGACCTGGTGTTTGCAGTTTTACGGGACGGGAATCTGTGTCTTACCCTAGCATGCCTGTGGGTCTTGGTTTTTTTCAATTACAAAGCATGGGTGGGCCTGAAATTTGCAGTTTTGTGGAAATACATGAAATAAAGGATGCATGGAATGTGCCAAATGTGAATTATACAGCCACTCAGTAATGTTGGCAGTTAAAACATGTTTAAAGCAAGAGGTTCATACCAGAAAAACTGAGTTTTGTCATTAGGAACTTGACAAATAAGGGGAAGGTGAAACTAAAATAGATGCACACCGTGAGGAAACTGAGGTGCCAGGAGGCCCCAACATCCCCTGCTTTCCCTTTGTCTGCAGTGCCCTTTGCTGGCCTCCTGAGCCATCTAAATCTTACTCCCTATTTTAGATTTACCCAGAAGTACAAATTCCTCTTGAAAAATTCTGACCCACGCTCGAAGAGGTCTGATTTTCTGATTAAGTGTTCTTGTAGCTTCCTGAAATGAATACTAAGTGCCCTGAAGTTAGTTAGCAATGTGTGTCTGCCATTTTAGGAACTTCAGGTATTAAGACATCTTTTAAAGGCTCAGGAGGTGGGTTCAGTGGTAGGGTGCTTGCCGGCCACGTGCACGGCCGGACTCAGGCCACAGCACTACAAAAATAAAAGGTATTAAGACATCTTCTGATAATCTTCCTAACAATTATGCAGTACTAAATCAGTGGAAAATAATTATGAATTCTTAGAATTCAGAAGTAGGCAGCTGTGAAAAAAATCCAAGCCTGAAGGCAGGTCGGACATCCACCCCCGCACCGCCAAAACCCTGTTGAACTTCAGAAGCTGCATGACCTATTCGTTAATACAGTGTGCTGTACATAGGAATATTTCTCCTGAAGCCATGTTTAAAAACAATCACATTAGACTTCTTGGTAGAAAGATGATGGATTTCACTCTGGATTGAGAGCCCCACCCAGCCTGGTGTGCCTTGGGCAAACCTCTTCACCTCTCAGAACCTCTGTCTCCATCCGTAACACTGAGCAGCACGGCCTGCTTTGTGGAGATTAGGAGCAATGAGAAGCACAAAGCACAAGCAAGAACAAAGCACTTAGAAATACCAGGGAGCGTTTGGCTATATCCCTGAGCTTTCTCTGTTTCCATTCAATTCACATGTGACAACAAGCAAGTGAGGTTAATGAGTCCTCCAAGAATAACTTATTTTTAAGCCGCCTATTCTGTAAACAAAGCCAAGGGCCATATGCAGCGAGCCAGCCAGGTCCCACAAGAACAGCAAGCACGCCCTGGGCGTGGTCTCCCTGGAGTTGGATCTTAGTGGGTGACAGAGCAGTTTCAAAGGTAAGGAGCCACACGGGGCTGCCTTCCTTTCCCATCTTAGATGCCCGCACACTGGAAGATTGTACTCTTCCCTTAGAATCCACAGGCAAGTCGGCACAGGGAAGACAGGCAGGTGCTTTTTCCAGTTCGTGTAACTTTGCATATCACAGGGTATGATTTGTTTCTATCCATGTATGCATTGTGCAGTAGACCAAGGGTTTCAGCATATCCATCATTCATTTTTCACTTGGTGATGAAAACATTCAAATTTTTTCTTGCTGTTGGAAATACTCAGTATTACTAACTTTAGAACACCAGCACTTGTTCCTGCTATCTAACTGGAACTGGGAGTCCAAGCCCAGGCCCGCCACATGATACAGGCCTTTCCCGGTGTTCTCTGGACCTCCCCCATCCGTACAGACCCAGCACAGCCCCTCCGACACAGCGCAGCCCGCCCTGTGAGTGAGAACTTCCACTGCACCTTGGGCCAGCTCCATATCCATCCAACCCCAGGTCCTCCTGTGGCCCCCCTCCCCCATCTGAGCCCAGGCCCTGTGAGTGTGGGGGATAGCATCTCTGTCCTGCACCCACCCGTTGGTCCAAGCCCAGGCCCGCTGTATGAGGGAGGCCTTTTCCCATATTCTCCTGACCTCCCCCGCCCATCCAGAACCAGCACAGCCCATCCTGTGAATGAGAACTTCCGCTGCACTCCTGGGAGCCCTGCAGACACACCAAAGCACAGGCCTGATGAGTGTGTGAGGGAGCTTCTGCGCTCTCTTGCCCCCGTTCCTTATACTCCTCCAGACCCAGCCCAGACCTGGCATACAGGCTTGGGGTGAAACCCTGCAGCTAAAGTCCCTGCAGTGAGACTAGGGTCAAAACCACACAGCTAATCCAGGAACAGAACATCTTACCAGAGGGGTACACAGACCCACCTTCAAGGGCATCAACAATAAGGAGCTGAGCACAGTGGGAGACCCAAGCGAGGCACAACTGCATGAATTAGAACTTGGTATATCAGTACCCGAATTTCATTAAGTGATAAGGATGTAATTGCACCAAAGCTCTACACTAAAGGTCAGAGGTCATTGCTATATGAAATGATAAAGACAAGGAGCAAAACGCAATCTCAGGCCTCAGGCCCACCCATAACAAGTGCAGACGACACTAGCTCAGCTGAAATATATGAATCAATAGCATTGGAAGTAAATAAACAACAGCAGAAAGATATAGAGGAACTCAGAGCAGAATTAATTTCTGGAACAAAAAAAAAAACCTCTGAATTTACAGCATCTGAACTAAAGAATCAAATGCAGAAACATATGGAAGAAACACAATGCCCAGCCCAAACAAGTGCAGCGGACACTAGCTTAGCTGAAATATATGAATAGCATCGGAAGTAAATAAGCAACTGCAGAAAGGTTTAAAGGAACTCAAAGCAGAATTAATGTCTGAAATAACTGGAGCTTGGACTAAACTCTCTCCACCCCATGACTCCTCAATCCTCTGGCAACTTTTTTTTTTTTTCCTGTATTTAGGGAAGAGTCTACAGGGTGTTCAGGGTCCCACTACTAGATGGGACTCAGTGATCTGCCTGTTTACAGCTTCCCAAAAGCTGGGATTACAGGTGAGCACCACCACGCCCAGTCTCAATTGATGTCTCAGCATGCCCCAAGGGCAGGACCAGCACAGCAGGCTTGGGATTGAACCCCTAGCCCCCGAGCCTGCTTGCAGGCACTTTAATGCACTGGGCTATTCGGCCGGCCCTCCTCTGGCAACTCTTGAACTCTTCTTCCTGAAGATCAACTCCTTCAGATTCCACATACAGGATCGCACTTTGGTTGGTTTTCTGTGCCTGGCTTAGTTCGCTGGACACAGTGTCTTCCAGGCTCACTCGGGTTGCTGCATTTCATCATTTTCATCCTGCTGATGCTAAACTGTGGCCACGAACCACATGCTCTTGATGCACTCGTGCCCTGGTAGAGGCTCAGGTTGCTTCAGACCTCAGGCTGTTGTAAACAGAAAGGTTCTCATGTCGGGAACACGGGGCCAAGAGCACCTACTCACTTCCACGGTGCTTCAGATCGTGTATGTGGCCAGGCAGGCCATGGAACGAAGTCCTCGGGGGTGCAGCAGAAGGCCAGGAAAGCAGCTGGAGTGCTGGATGTGAGGGGTAGAGAGCAAAAAG